ATTCAAAGTAAGATCAACTAAAAAAAAATTTAAAGTATAAATATATTTATAATTTATTTTCTTACAGGCACCGCAATGGAAATATCCTATATGCCATCGCTAAGTCAAACCAGACAGTAGCAATGGCAAACTTAAAAGTTCTGAAACTTATGAATAAAAAACAAAAATAATAATCATAGATTTCATATCAATAAATTATTACTGTTTGAACCAGTTTTTTCTTATTTCTACATTTACCATATGTATGTAAATTATATTATATAATGTGATGTATCACATTATATAACTATATTGAATATCCCTCCTTAATGAAAACAATTAAATAATTTAACTTAAATATAAACAAAACAATTTCAAATAAATCTGTCAATTATAATAATAATTAAAAATGCAGGCATTAAAATATTAAACCATCGTATACAAAACTGCTCCAGGTATATGATAATATCAAAATTAACAGTCAAAAAAAAACCTAGCAATTTTTTTACCAATTGCAATTTTAAAGAAGTGCCTAATTTGTTGCTACCCTTCACTATGATTCAAAGGATTAAAAATTCATTCTAAATATTCAGTTTTAAAATACAATGTATATAATTAATTAAAAAAAAATCCTTTACCTTTAAATATCATATAATTAAAACACATTTGGGATAACTAAAATAATTGAAGAAAAAAATTAATACGTACCGTGGCTAAAAATAAAAAAATTTCGAATAATATTTCATTTGTATTAGTCTCAAATCTGTTATAAAAATAACCTCAATATCGGTTTTCTCCGAGCTATCGGTTCGTCCGAAGTTTTTGCTAAAATATATGTTATTTTTTGAAAAATTCATTCTTGAAGACGAAGTTAAACTCCGAGTGGGGTTACTTTGTCCACCTCATTAATTTTCATGATATTTGACAATTAACCCCTTATTTTAACCCAGGTATGAAAAATATATATCTGAAACAATATCACTGAATGACAAGAAAAAAATTGAGCTTATAAATGGCATTAAGACACCAGAAATTAGAAACTTAGTGATATATTAAGGAAATATTATCTTTTACGGTACAAAAATATTATTTAACTCTTATACAAATATAAAGTAAATAGGTATAAATATAATATTCTGCAATAAAAAAAATAACAATTTTTCTTTGCGCAGTTGTAAGTTCTTTAAATAATGTTTTCAGCAAAACAATAACAGCTTCTATTAAGAATAGGTTGCCCCAACTTAAATCTTACTTAAACTACTTACTTAAAGATACTTCACAGACTTGAATAATTTTCAAAATTGCCCCACTACATCGATCAAAGTACATGAACAACAAGCAGAAAATCTTTTTTAAGTCCCATTTAGGGATCTATATTTTTTATGTTATAGCAAAATCCAAATATTTACTTTCAACCAGTTTTAGTTAAAATATTACATTTGCTTATGGTGTACCCAATAAGTAAATTTCTTCTAAATAATCCATAAAATGATTAAATCATGGCTAAAAAATAAACAAAAAATTCTATTTTATAATAAAGAAAAGTGTTCAAACAAGCACAATTATGTATATTATAGTAACTCGATTTCGGGAAATTTAATCAAGCTAACCAGCCATTTTAATCCACTAAGAAGTGGATCTTATTTGTGGAAAGGCGAAATGGACGTTGACTATTAGACGCCTTCATTATAGCCATCCTTGTCTATCACATGGATTTCTATGGCTTACTTTATCGCTCTCACGTAACTCTATCGCATGGATTTCTATGGCTTACTTTATCGCTCTCACGTAACTTCTGATAGACCATCGGTACTTTCCTACAATGTATGTATAGAAGTATGTGAGGATATAGAATTTTTAATACCTGCAACTGTTTAAACCAATATTTGTATAACTGGTTGTATATATTATACGTTAAAAACAACCGTTTCCCGCAGTTAAGCCCCAAACAAAGCCTTTGGATATAATCGCCTCCAGCACCTCTAGCACAATTTTTGTTTGCGTGTTTATCCATTTTCCTCGGTGAAAGGGTTAAAGACAAGTTTCGTTAATTTTCATAGAGTATACAAACATTTTCTCAATATCTACCCAGGCAGCTTTAATGCGTGGCGGCTTCAGGATCAGAGTTACAACACGAGAACGTCAAAAATATAACAGTGTCTGAACATAAATATTACAGTACCCATGTGTAGGATGAGAAAATGAGGAAATCATGCAAACTTATTTTATAGAACATCTATTTTTGACAAATTATCAGATTGCTCTTGGACAAATCCAGCTTCTGTAGCCATAGATTCTACAATATTTAAAATAATTAACAATGTTGTGTTAAGTAAAAGTAAATAATATAAAATCTATCCGGCGCGCGTAGTTTGCATAAACACAAATGAATAAGAGTGAGACAGACTACAGAACACGACTCGTTTAATTTGTACCGATACCGGATCGTGACGTAAGAGTCAGCCGTCTTTGTTTAAGACAGAGTGCATAGAGAATTATTTTGAATTTATATATATTTTTTATAGGAAATTTATTAATAAAAAATTTAAAATTTATGTGGCAATTGACTTTTTACGATGAAAGGAATTTAATAAGAAAAGAAAAAAAATGTGAAACTTCCCCATTGACACAATTAAGTTGACCTGTTTTTTATCGGCGGAAAAGCATATTTACGGGGTGAAATACAGCCTCAAAGTATGCCCTCAAAACATTTTTTTCTAAATATCTGGAATTAGGAATACCTACCTGAGTACCTATACTATACACGAGAAAAATGGGAAATATATTATCACAGGGATTTTCAAGAAATAATATCCATTACAAACTTTTTCTAAATTTTATTTATTTATTAGAATTTTACAGCGATGCGAAACTTACACTATTCTCCAGTACTAGTAAGTATACATTAATATGAATGATTAGGCATAGGAGGTGACCTTCAAAGTTTTCTTCCAGTTGTGCTACCACGTTCGTGCGTGACGTATTTAATTGTGAAAAGTATTTTGAGTTTTGTGGACAAGAGGTGGGTTTCAGTGTCGACCAAGCAGAATCAGATGCAGATACCCTCATCGTTCGCTCCGTTCTTGCTGCATCCCAATCGTTCGATTCAGTCACTATTGTCGCCGAAGATATCGACATTCTTGTCTTGCTCACGGCATTTGGAAGAACACATTCAAATGTATTTTTTTAAGCCATCAAAAGGACGTACAGCCGAACAATTATATTGTCCGTCAAGTTNCTATGTTAATTCTAATCGTACAGGCATTTTTCTCATTAAGGGGTTGTTCACCCCCCTAAACAGAAATTTTAGCGAAAACCCTGAAACAGGTCAATTTAATTGTCAATTTGTTTACATAAATCATATTTTTAACTCTGAGTAAATATGAATTTTTTATAAAAAAAATATAGTTTTTCTGAAATAAAAAATAAGGATAGCAACCCCCAAATACGGAATCACTTCCGAAATATTTGTTTTTTTATAATTAGTAATTTCCATTTTGTTTCATTTCAAAATATTGATTAGAACCCCAGATATTTAGAAAAAACTGTTTTGGGGATATACTTTGAGGCTGTATTTCACCCCGTAAATATGTTTTTCCGCCGATAAAAAAATACGTGTCTCTTAATCTTTTATGTTCTACAACATATATAAAAATCTTGAAAATCGAAGTGTTCGAGTTGGGGTAGTTTCCTTGTATGAAAATTTCTTGTTTTCTTAATGTTTTGGACAAAAAATTATATGATATATATTTATGTNAAGTCAGTGACAAAGAATACATTTAATTTGTCTTCACTTCCTCCAACACAAGACACAGCCCGCTTGCACAGCTTCCGAATCTATCATCAGGTCCAGTTGTGGCTCGAGAATTACAACGACCCTCAAGACTGGGTCTGGAAAAAGTATGGACAAATATTGATGCCTGTTCAAAGTTCAAAACCTCTAGCACCCTCTGAGCTTCTAAAGTTGATATTCTGTCGATGCAAAGGAAACTGTGGAGCAATGTGTGGATGTCGGAAGGCAGGCCCAAATGTTCTGCAGTGTGCCTGAATTGTTCTGGGGAGACATGTAGCAACATAATGGAGATATCAAAATTGATCGAGGAGAATGATTTTGAAGATGAACTGCCAACAATGACGCCACTTCATTCTCCATCCCTCCTCAACAATTCAATATCGGAAGCTCAACCAGATCCTGAGCCTGACCCATCAAAGAGACTGAGGACACAGTAGATTGGGAAATATATTTCGATATTTTTAATTACACTAATTATTATGTCAGCTAGAAAATGTCCGTGGATTCTGCTTACTAGGGATACGACGTAAAAAAAACGCGCCACCAGTCAATAAGAGTCAATAACTAATTAACAACATTGCAATGTCAATAATTAAAATGTTTCTTATAAAAATAATGGAAAGATGAGAGAAAACTATGCCTAATCATTCATATTAATGTATACTTACTAGTACTGGAGAATAGTATAAGTTTCGCATCGC